TCATTTCTTCCAGTAACTTCTCAGAAATTAACGTCCAGCTGATCACACTTTTTTTTTCTTTTTTCTTTTTAAAGATGGGCATTATGTTAGCCTTTCTCTAATAACCTGGAACACTGCCTGTCATCCATGACTTTGCAAATATACTTATAATCATTGCCAGTGACTCAGATTTCTTCAGCAAATATTTTAACAAATATGGATTTGTTTTTAGGTATTCTCTTTCAGTGTCTTAGGATTCATCTCAGCCAAATGTTAAGATATTTTCCGTTCTTCAATTTTGCAATTCAAGGTAGCACCAATAAAATAAAATAAATCAGCTGCTGGAATACAGCCTATACCGGAAGTAAATGTAGGAGACAAGTCTGAAAAATAATTAACTTATGGTACCAGTCACTATCTTCAAAAAGACTGCAACACACCAATACATCTATTGCTGAAAAAAACGATTCTGTCAATAATGTTTCTAAATCACAGATTTAATTAGCCAAAAATTTGTCACTAGAGAAAGGACTTTCCACATAAAAAGCACTGCTCTTGACAAACTGTAAAGGAAAATTATTAAGACCTTGTGTATCTGAGGAACCTTAGTAGGTTATTTTGAAAGGAAGGCACGATAAACCTCTCATTAAGTGACTGCAGAAATGTCTACATCTTCCCATTGACTTTGGAGAACCAAAATGGTGAAGTGCAGGTGGGTACACTGAGGGAAGCAGTATTTGGCTTTTGTTATGACAAATTATAAATTGGAACTAGCTCATTCATTTAAGGCTTTCCATGAAAGGCTAAATAAAGAACATTTTTGACAGGAACATTTGACAATAAGGTTGATATACAAATTAAGAAAAATCAAGGTGGAACTGCACTCCTTTTCAGCATTACTTTAAAAAAATCCTATAGCACTGTCCAGTAATAATAAAAAGCAAATGTATATCCCACATCTTGAAGTTTTCTACAACATCTATACACAACAAGGCAGGCCAAAAATCACATTCAAATCTTAACTATTAATCTACTTGCTTTGTTTTCACCTGTGCCAAAGCTTTGTTATGCGACTACAAGTTTGTTTTATTACCTCCCTTGCACATGACGGTCACCAAGTTCAAGTTTCCACAGTTGTGTTAATAACAAAAAGATTAATATTTCAAGGATGTTTTTCAATAAAATATTAAATACAATGGCCAAAAGGAAACACATTCCTGTCTTCAAAGCCTTCATATCAAACTATTCCTTTAATCATTTGCTTTTACTACAAACCAAAAGATAATGCAAAACTACTCCTTAGAATCTGGCAGAGATTCTGCCTTAAAAAGAAGCCACTCATACACAACAAAGTGAGAAACGTACAATATGTTTTAGGATTAGAAATAAGCAATCATGATTAAATGCATATTCCATATGGCAATAATTTAATTACAAAGAGTAAAACTACTGGGCTTTGAGAATAGCTTCCTTAATTTCCTAGATAATCTACAAGTAATTTCCTTAGATGGTTTATAAGAAAGCACTTATATATCCTTTGAAGCTGAAAGATAAATTGCCTTTGAAACAGAAATCATTTGTTACTAACTGCAATCCTAAGAGCCTTGAACCAGCAATCATTACAGATTCTTCTCTATAAAGATATTGCAATATCTCAGTGAAAGGTGGCAAATCAATGCAAAGTCAGAAAATGTGTTTGTTGAAACTACACAAATTAACAGTGCACCTTTATGGGAACAGAAAAAGCAAATGAAGTAGAAGATAGATAGGGCTTTTAGCTTCTCTGAAAATGCTTTAAATGACATTTGATTATTAATGATGCTTCCGCTTCCATGATGCAGATAAGTATTAATGTAAACCCATTTGTCAATATATGCAGCGATCAGAAAATAGTGTGTTACTAAATACACACACACACAAAATATATATATTTTGGCTAACAGCCATATTTCCTTTAGAGCCCATTCTGATCTTACATTACTAGTGAATAATTGCTCTTAAATTCCTGGCAAAGCTACTGCCACTTTTTGGGATGTTCCATATTCCTAAAATAATCCACACTTCAGTTCAATTGCAAATCAGCATTGCCAGATGCTCATAATATAGTGTGTGTACTTCATATATTTTTACCATCTTGAATGCTTCAATTGATTCCAGAAAAATACTTCTAAAATAAGATAAAAGGAGGTGGGGGAATTGTCTGTAGACTTTCCGAGTAGCATATATTTTTAAGGATGCCCAGTGCACAGAGGTATATATGCACTGACAGTTATAAGCACCTATTTTGTTGTAATGGTCAGATAAAAGCGCTGCTGTTATCCTTTAAAGAGCAAAAAATCATTATAAATAATTGCCAGTGTACAATATGCATATTTATCCACTTATTCTTAACAAAAAAGGACAACCTAGCATATCAAAACTACCCTAAACTGCAATATAGAACTTTACATAAAAAGCCTGTGAAAACACTCACATTTACCAATTGCGGAGAACACATCAAAAAGAGATTAGTAAATACATATATCAGAACCAAACCTTAATGTTAACCCTTAATTTACACTAAGGCAAGACTAGAGTACAAAAAAAAAAAAAAAAAAAAAA